TTTTGAAAACGAGCCGCTCTCCGTCCTTGAAGTTGTTGCAAGCTTTGAGGACCCATGTGCGTGCCACTAAGGCGAGAGCCACATTTTGACATCAACTCGCCCTCCATCTTTGCAGCTGTTGTGCACTTTTAGGACCGGTTTGCGCGGCGCGAAGTCGAAGCGACATCTTGAAGACCACCTGCCCTCCACCCTTGAAGCCGATGCAAACTTTCAAGACGAATTAGCGCGGCGCTAAAGCGAGAACCACATTTTGAACACTCTGCCCTCCATCCGTGAATTTGGGTGCAACTTTAGCCATACATGGTGAGGAGTCCTCAGGCGACACGGGGGAGGCGGGAGATGCGGGAGGCGGGAGATGCGGGAGGAGGTGGATGAGGATGACGAGGAGGAGAATGCTGAGGAGGAGGAGGAGGCGGAGGAGGAGGCGGAGGAGGAGGATGAGGAGGAGGAGGAGGAGGCGGAGAAGGGGGAGGAGGAGGCGGAGTAGGAAGAGGAGGAGGCGAGCACGAGGATGAGGCGAGAGGAGGAGGGTACTGAGGGTACTGACTACATCGGGGAAGGTATCCCCCCCGCTCGCCACGTTGGGCGCCGTCATGGCGGAGACCGCCAAGCTCGCGGGCGCGCCCGCGCCGTCCGCTCGCCGCGTGGACCTCAAGGGCAAGTCCCTCGAAGCTCCCCAGCGGCGGCCCCAAAGGGCCAAGGCGAACCCCGCCCACATGGGAGTTTGCCAAGTCCCGCAGGGACTCGGCCAACGCACACCCAAGCCCAGGGACCCGCCACCGAAACCAAAACCGCAAGGCCACAACAGGCCCCGTCGAACAGGGGCCCAGCGAGCCCCTCAGCCCGAGGGAGACGTCGAGGGCCTCTTGCCCCTGGAGCCCAGCCAGGCCTTGAACTCGTCGAGCTCGGCCCAGTCGAACCCCTCGAAGAGGCCGCCCTCCAGCGCGTCCAGCTCGGTCCTGTACTTGGCGGCGTCCGCCTCCGAGCCGTTGGCCGCCGTCGAGTCGGCCTCCTTGTCCTTCTTGTCCTTGTTGTTGTTCTTCTTCTTTTTGCCAGCCAGCTCAAAGTCCCCGATGTAGAACTCCGAAGGGCCAGCCGCAAGATCACCAGCAGCTTTGACGTTGGGCTCCAGCATGCACTCCCCGCCGCCTTTGCTGCCGCCATTGACACCGCCATTCTCCGTGGAATTCGGCCCACGGTCCTTCTGCCCTCCACCATCGTTCACACAGGAGCTGCCTCCGTCACGATGGTGTCCTTGTCCTTCTTGATGTACTTGTCCCAGCGCCTGAGCTTCGGGAGCGCCCACGTGCCCCAGGCCTCGTCCTCCTCCAGCACTGCCGTCGCTGACGAGGCCTCCTCCAGCACCTTCGTCCTGATGCCCTCCTGCTGCACGTCGCAGCTCCTCAGCTCCAGGATCTGAAGCCCCTGGCGCTCCCGATTCGCCCAGTCCCTGGCCTTCTTGGATGGAGCGCGCGTCGGCGACCCCAAGCGAGTCTTTGATGACGCTGCCACCGCCTCCTTGTACGTCATGTGGAGCGGCTTGCCCGCCACCTGCGGCTCCTCCTTGAGCTTCTTCGACTTGGCGTCCCCCAGCCTGTTGTTCTTCTTCTTCTTCTTCTCCTCCTTCTCCTTCTTCTCCTTCCGAGATGGCCTCACCACCTCGTACCTCGCAGCCTTGTCCGACAGAATCGTCTCGATAGGAATCGGCCTCTTGTCCTTCGAGCCCGTGACCTGCTGGGCCGTCCGCCGAGGCAGAGGCTGCACCCGAGACGTCGGAGGGCCGTACCCCAGCCCCAGCGCCTCCAGGCTGAACCCGCTCATGGCCGAGCTCGACCACCACCTCGCTCCAGCGATGACGACAGCTGAGCTCCTCCACAAAATTGCCCACCGCCTTGACCCCGTCCGCGAACCAAAATTAGGTCGGAGGCGATGCGGATGACTAGGCGCATGCAACGCTCCGTGCAGCAGCGCCCTTGTGAGTTGCGCTGCGCGACGCCGAGCCGGCCGCCACCCGCCGCCGTGGGCCGCGCCGAGTGCCGCGCGCGTGCCAGGCAGGGGGGGGCCGTTTCAGCCACAAGGGCTGCGAGGAGGAGGACCAATAGGAGGAGGAGGAGGAGGAGGTTGGATGAGGAGGAGGAGGAGGAGGAGGAGGAGGAGGAGGAGGGAACAGGAAGAGGAGGAGGAGGGAACAGGAAGAGGAGGAGGAGGAGGAGGAGGAGGAGGAGAGGAGGAGGAGGAGGAGGAGGAGGAGGAGGAGGAGGAGGAGGAGGAGGCGGAGGGAGCGGCGAGCCGGGGGGATGACGAGGAAGAGAAGAAGGAGGAGGAGGAGGAGGAGGAGGGGGAGGAGGAGAGCCATCGCTGCGTCGCCCCGCAGAGGTGGCCTGGCCGTCGGGCTCATCCGAGAGCGCCTGTCGGCCACCATCCGCCGCCCCGCGCAACGCACACCTCGGCGCCGCGCCCAGGCTCCAGCGGGGCTGGGCCCTTCAGAAAGAGCGCTTTCTGCCGCTGCTGGCAGATGGGGGGGTTCATCTTTCCACCCCTTCTCCCCCAAAACCAAGGGGGGTGGGGTCCAGACCCCCCCCTCCCGCTGGGGAAAATGAAGTAGAGTAGAGTAGAGTACGGAGGTAGGTGTACATGATTTTCGAGTAGGGCAGGAGTAAGTAGAGAGTAGTATACGTGTAGAATAGAACAAACGTATCGTAGAGTGGAGCAGAGCTGAATATAATATAGTATGAGTAGAGTTGACCAGGAGCAAGGTCGAGTAGAGTAGAGTAGAGTAGAGTGGAGTATGTTGGGGTACCGTATGGCATAGTAGGGTAGCGTAGAGTAGGCCAGAGTAGAGTAGAGTAGAGTAGAGTAGAGTAGAGTAGAGTAGAGTAGAGTAGAGTAGAGTAGGGAAGGTTCCGAATAAAGTAGAGTACTAACAAACTGCAGTACAGTAGAGCACGTTGGGGTGTGGTAGGGTAGTGTAGAGTAGGGTGGAGTAGAGTAGAGAACATCGAGCCGAGTAGAGAAGAGTATATGGGTAGAGTAGAGGACCATGTACCAGAGCAGAGCTGAATAGAGTAGAGCAGGAGAAGAGTAGAGTAGGAGCAAAGTATATAATAGTCGAGTGCGTAAGGGTATGTAGCACCTCGCAGTTGCGGATAAGAGTGGGGGGGCGGACGCGGGCTGGGTCGCGGGTGGATCGCGGGGTGGGTCGCGGGGTGGGTCGCGGGGTGGGTCGCGGGGTGGGTCGCGGGGTGGGTCGCGGGGTGGGTCGCGGGGTGGGGCGCGGGTGGCTCGCGGGTGGCTCGCGGGTGGGTCGCGGGCTTCCTTTCATGGGCAGCGATGGTGGGGATGGGCGCGAAATCGACGCGCGCCAGATTTTTCGGGAGGTTCGGTTTTCAAGGGTTTCGCACGTTTTCGTTAGCTCTTGTAGGTTTTCTCTCTCAGGGGTGCCTCGCAGCGGCTCTGCCTCGACGAGGGCGCGCTGGGGGTGCTTGGATCGCTCCGAACGGTCGCAGGAGGCCTGAGTTGTGACCCCAAAGTTGCCCTGGGATCGGGCCAGGGGTAATGCGTCGGCCCCCAGTCGTCCCTTCCTCGACGGGAGGGGCCCGATGGCCCCACCCCGCCCATGGCACGTCGGGATCCGCCATCGGCGGGGGCGTATCGCCGATTTTTCCAGCGATGCAGAGCTCGGATAGCTGGGACGGGCGCGAGCGCAGACGCGCGGGCGCGGGCGGCCGGCTGCGAGCGCTGGTGCGCTCGCGCGCGCGCGGGGGGCGCGCGGGGGCGGGGGCCCGGGCCGTGGCGCGGCGGCGGCGGCGCAGCGGGGTTCGAGGTCTGAGGTTTTCGTGCGTCTTCGACTCCTCGATGGTCTCACGATCGGCGAACTTTTCTCGTCGGCGGCGAGGAGGCAGGACTGCTGCGCCAGCGGAAGATCTAGACGGGGACACCGAGAAGCGACTTGCCCGGCGTGCAGGAGGGGAGACTGACGATCGGCGAGCATATAGCACCCCGCACTCGCGGATGAGAGTGAGGAGGGCGGCGGGGTCGTCGGCAGTCGGCGAGGCCCCGAAGAAGCCTGCCGCAGGCGCTGATTTTTCAGCAGCAAATTATGCAACTAGCCTGCCGCAGGCTCCGAGTGTTTCGTGACAGCAAGTGGGTCGCGGGTGGGTCGCTGGGTGGCGGGTGGGTCGCTGGGTGGGTCGCGGATGGGTCGCTCGTGGGTCGCGGGTGGGTCGCGGGTGGGTCGCTGGGTGGGTCGCTGGGTGGGCCGCGGGTCGCGGGTGGGTCGCGGGTTGGTCGCGGGTGTCTCCCGGGCGGGTCGCGGGTGGGCCGCGGGTCGTTCGCGGGGTGGGTCGCGGGTGGGTCGCGCGTGGGTCGCGGGTGGCCGGGTTGGTCGCGGGTGGTTCGCGGGTGCGACGACGACAACAACAACAGCAACAACAACAACAGCAACAACAACCTACGGACAAACAAACAAACAACACACAACAAACGACGCAACAACAATAACAACAGCAGCAACAACATCAACATCAACAACAACAATAACCACAACACCACCAACAACGACAACAACAACCACAACAGCAACCATAACAGCACCAACAACAGCAACCACAAAAACAAGACCAACAATAATCGTTTTAAGTCTGTTCGCTCTTATCTGCTCGCGTGCCACTTAGCACGTATATCCCAAACCATCGAAACCCTCGATACCCGCCCTGTTCGTCTTCGATCGTCTCCTCTTGGGCCTATATATTCCCCAATCAGAGCTTGCTTCTGTAGGGGCCCTAGCGGATTCATTTGGTTAGTTGAGCTTTGCCGCCGATTTCCGCGGACCACCCGGGTGCCCAGATACCCGGGTGCCCGGGTGCCCGGGTGCCCAGGTGCTTTATAGCCCTATAGCCCTGTAGCCCTTTAGCTATAGCCCTATAGCCCTATAACCCATGATACCGGAGAAAAAACCCAATCAGGGCTATAGGGCTAGGGGGCTATAGAGCTATGGGGCTATAGAGCTATAGGGCTATGGAGTTGTAGGGCTATAGGGCTATTCGGCTATAGGGCACCCCCGGGCACGCCCGGGCACCCGGACCCGGGCACCCCCGGGCACCCCCGGGCACCCAGGCACCCCGGCACCTGGGCACCCGGGCACCCCCGGGCACCCGGGCACCCAGGCGTGCAGCGAAAATCGGCGGCATACCTAACCTAACCATATGAATCCGCTAGGACCCCTACAGAGGCAAGCTCTGATTGGGGAAATAGCCCTATAGCCATATATCGCCATAGCATTATAGCCTCATAGCCCTATAGCCTTATCGCCCCATAGCCCTGTAGCTCTATATCCCTATAGCCGTATAGCCCTGTAGCCCTATAGCCCTATAGCCCTGTAGCCTAATAGCCCTGTAGCCCCATAATCCTCTAGCCCTCTAGCCCTGTAGCCCAATAGCCCAATAGCCCAATAGTCCTGTAGCCCTGTAGCCCTATATCCCTATAGCCTCATAGCCCCACAGACTTTTAGCCTTCTAGTCCTATGGCCCTACAGCCTTATAGCCCTTTAGCCCCATAGCTCTTATAGCCTATAGCCCGGTAGCCCCATAGCCCCATAGTCCCATATCCCTATGCCCTACATCCATATGGTCCTATAGTCCGATAGCCCCATAGCCCTATATACTCATAGCCCTATGGCTTTATAGCATTATAGCCCCATATCCCCCAAACCCAATATACTCATAGCCCTATAGCCCCGCAGCCCTATAGCCCTATGGCCCTATAGCCCTATAGCCCTATAGCCCTACAGACCTATAACCCTATGGCCCTATAGCCCTATATTTCCATAGCCTTATAGCCCCATAGCCCCATCGCCCTATCGCCTAATAGCCCCATCCATAGCCCTATAGCTCTAAAAATACTTTGATTGGTTTTTCTTCGGTATCACATATACCTATATATATATATATTTTTGCTCTTCTCTCTCTCTCTCTTTCGTACCTGCAGCGTGTATTTCGCGCAGCCCCTAAGGCAGGGGAAGAGAGGACGGATGGAAGGAAGGGACAAGAGGGAAGTAGGAGGATGAAGCACGACAGAAAGTAGCAGAAAACGGGGCCGGAGGTGAAAACACGTGGCAGAACCACACGGGCAGGTCGGGCGGGTATACCCTAACGGGCGGGTCGGGAAGGCTGGCCCAGGCGGTCAGGTCGAGCAGGCCGGTTGCTGAAGCGTGTGTCCCACATGAATCGCGAGGACGTCTCAAGCAATAGCGTGACTCCCAACTGAATCGTGAGGAAATTTACAACGAGAGCAGATTCCTGAGTGTCGAGGGCGCGGCATCTGAATAAATTGCGAAGAAATCTAAGGCGCGAGCGCGATTCCTGAGTGACTTGCAAGGAAGTCTTAAGCGAAAACCTGATTCCTCAATACATTGCGAGGAAGTATCAGGTGGGAGCCGTTGTTGTTGTAACTCGGTGGCCAGGGGCGCAGTTTGACGCTCAAGATATTCCCTGAAGATATTCCCTGATAAAAAGCAGGGTGCGAGCCCCGGGAGGGGCATTCAATTGAAAATGTAATGTGCACCGGGCAGGTGGGATCAACGGTAGTTATTTTCTAGAAATGAGAGTTCAACAACAGCAACACCAACAACACCAGCAACAATAGCAACAACAATAGCAACAACATTACAATCAACGACAACAGCAAACACAACACAACTTCAATTTCAACTTCGACAACAACACCAGTCATTTTATGACTGTTCGCTCTTACCTGCTCGTGTGCCACTCAGCACGTACATCGTCGTCTTCGTCGCCGTCGGCGTCGTCGTCGCCGCCGCCGCCGTCGTCATTGTCCGCGTCGTCATCGTCGTCGTCGTCGTCGTCGTCGTCCGTCGTCCTTGGGCCGTCGTCCGTTTCCCGTCGTCCGTCGTCGTCTTCGTTCGTCGTCGTCGTCGTTGTCGCCGCCGCCGTCGTCGTCGTCGTCTTCGTCGGCGTCATCGTGGTGGTCGTCGTCGTCGTCGTCGTCATCGTCGTCGTCTTCGTCGGCGTCGTCGTCGTCGTCGTCGTCATCCGTCGTCCGTCGCCTGTTCCTTGTCGTCTGTCGCCCGTCGTTCGTGGTCCGTCGTCCGTCGTTCGCCGCTGTCATCGCCGTCGTCGTCGTCGTGGCGGTCGTCGTCGTCGTCGTCCGTCGTCGTCTTCGTCGGAGGCGCCGCCGCCGCCGCCGCCGCCGCCGCCGTCGTCGTCGGCGTCGGCGTCGTCGTCGTCGTCGTCGTCGTCGTCTTCGTCGTCGTCGTCGTCGTCACCGCCGCCGCCGCCGCTGCCCCTCTCGTCGTCGTCGTCGTCGTCGTCGTCGTCGTCGTCGTCGTCGTCGTCGTCGTCGTTGTCGTCGTCGTCGTCGTCGTCGTCCTCCATCGGCCATCGCTGTTGTCGCCGCCGCCGCTGCCGCCGTAGTCGCCGTAGTCGCCGCCGCCGCCGGCGTCGTCGTCGTCGCTTTCGTCGCTGTCGTCGCCGCCGCCGTCGT